GTCCCCCGCCCCTCTGCGCCCCGTTACCTCCCAGAGGCAGCAGGAAGCAGCCCTCGGCATTAGCAATTCTGCCTGATTAGCCCAAAGTGGGGACAGATAATGGGGATTGTTACCAATGAATAACATCTTGGGTGGCGAGCGGTGGCCACTACCCTCCCGTCCAGCCCCAGCTTCCTCTTTCTCCTAGGCTGATACGGGGCCTGGCCTCGCGGGAGCGCAAGGAAGAGTGAGGGCGGCATGGGTAGTTTATGAGCGCCCAGGAATTTATTCCCTGTTTGTATATTCCTCGAGCTTGTTTGCTAGAGTGTTCGTTTCCCGCAATTACCCGGAAAGTGATTTACAAGACAGTGTTAAACTGGCGCGCTCTCTTTCTTTTTGGTTGGGCCCCTCTAAGGACTCAGAGGCGAGAAGATTCAGACCGGCACAGAGGAGTGGCCTGGCCCCGCCGGCATCTGGGCCAAGGATTTCAAAGGTCGCTAGGAGCCTCCCCACACCCCAGACGTCCTCCACAACTTCAGGGGTGCTGAGGAAAGGCTGGTAGCATGAGGGTCTCCCAGCTCTGCCTCTGTTTCCCCAGACCAGCAAAACTGAGGAGGAATCTGGCCAAGAAATTCAGATCCGAAGTGCCAGCCTCGTTGGCCCAGCTCTGCCTGACTGCTCACCGTCACGGGCTCAGGCTCAGTGTCCGTACTCGGTAGAACTGAGCCCTGGTCTACTCTAGGACCCATCGGCAGCTGCGTTTCGCAGGGCGGCCTATGAGGGCTTTGCAGTCTCCTTGGCGTCGCCACACCCTTTAGCTCCACTTGTGCGCCCCGACTCTGTGGCCTCAACGTCAGGCCCAGTGCAGAGGACATGACCTCTGCCCAAGAGCAGGCAATAAGCCGGAGCTCCCGCTCCGTCGCAGCTGCCAGGCTTAGTCTGTAATGGACCGATCCGAAGAATTAGGAGTGGACCCGCCGGCAGAAAAGATGGCCAGTTCGGGGTTTCTCCGAGATCATCTAGTCCCTACAGCCCAAGCCCACTGAAAATGATCAATGTAGAAGGTGCAGGGAGCCGGATGCTTTTGATGACCCACAGTTTCAAGGCAGCCGCGCTGAAGGCTAGGGCTCAGCGAGCTCACTTTCAGAGGCCTCTTCCTCTGGCAGCCAGTGGGTTGGTTTTTGGATTGCTAAGTTTAGTGAGGAGCGCAGCGCTTGGGAGGCTGGCTCCACCTGAGCTGAACCGGGACCTGGCTCCGTGCAGTTGCCGCGACTCGGCTGGGTTTGGCTCATCCTCCCCAGCAGCCTCCCTCTCAAGCGTGCCCAACGCGCCAGCCCGGGGCTGCGCAACGCGCTGGGTGGTCGGACGGAGGCAACCCCAACACAGGCCAACTGCTAGTCTGGGGACAAAGGGGAAATGGAGCTCGACGCCCCGGACCTGTTGGAAGCATTTGTTCCAGTCAAGATTTTGCATTTGTTCAGTCCGAAATAATGCTTGATTGACGCTTGCTCACAATGCTCTTTAGCGAGCCGGGATAAATCAGAGCTTGTCCCGTGTTGTCATGGTTTTCAATGGGGTTCAATGGGATTGGGAGCACGATCAACTCTGCTGGCCGTCTCTGCGGCCCCGGCAATAGATTTATTAGTTATGTCTTTTTAAATAAGATTAAATTGAAATGACTTGGCTGTCCTCTCTGAGAAGGCGGGGAGGGAGCCGTGAGTAGACTGGGGGGAGGTGGGGAGGATGGCATCAGAAACCGGAAATCTAGTGCCTACCGCGCCCTAGCACGTAAGCGCCAGCGTCCTAGAGGTTGGGCAGGTCACAGACTGGCCCAGGGCCTTGGGGACTTCTCTTTGGCTAGAGCTCCATGCCTGGCAACCTCTGCCAGCCATCTCCTGAGAGACGTGGAAGGAGGGCACTGACAAAGGCTGTCCCAAGGAAGCATTAGGACAGACTCCCAGATTAGGGTCTGAAGTTCCAGGCAGTGTCAAGTGAAGGAGTTCTGGCCTGGCAGTCGGTTGGCATCTCAGCTCTGCCCCTAACTAGCTCCCATCACCTCCTCAATTTGAGGGGTTGCCCACCGCACCCACCCCCCACCAC